GCGGTAGCAAGAAGACAAGAAGCAGACGGGTTCGCGGAACACGCACCTTTTGTTGGAGCATTTATAATATTTTGCTGTTTTTATTCCTTTATCGCCGGCTTTGATGTATGTTACAATGCAACCAATATTAGAGAGAGGAAATTTTGTGCTAAAGAAAGTTGAAAGTTTGAAAGTTTTTCCAGGCCTTCCACATTTTTGTATATAGGCATAAAGATCTAACCAAGTCTTGCTCCTTGCATTTATACATGGCGCTCACTATATTTTTGTTTACATTCGGCTATGGTAAGCAATTAAATCATGCATCGGCTTTCGCACATCACTCTTGCAAACTACGACTGAACTCCATATCCAGGAATCAAGGAATACAAAAGTGATGCTAGGTTTTTCTTCCCGCACACACGACGTTTATTGCGCAAAATACGTGAGGTTTGGCAGACGGCAGCTTTTGCATTTTCTATAGTCATATTACTGGTACGTTACTTTTCAGTTTCTTATTTGATTTGATATATTTTCACCACTTCAGCTTCTTCAAGGGTACGAAATCGTGATGGAAGTTATCAACGAAAAGAATAGAATTCTTGATTTTGTGCGTGGTTTTGAGAGACTTTCTAGCAATTCATCATACTTCTGACGGCAGTGAAGCAAATTTTCAGAATAAAACAAAAAAATCATGGAATATGGTGCAAGAAATTTTGTCAATTATCTTTGCATCGGTACCCTTCACGATTCCTTTGCTCGTAATCATGCTGAGAGCACACCGCATCAAAAAGGCCAGTCAGGCGACTATATTCACTTCACAGATTTACAACTTTCTGTAAAGCTGGTTTTTCAGAGAAAACTTATACAACTCTCTATCGATCACCCAACCCAGCGGAAACGTGAGATGCTCAATTGATTGATTGAGGCACCCAACTCAAAAAACTTTTGTAGGTCAGCTGCTAAAAGCAAAGAAGAAGCGAATGATGTTGACCAGCAGAGCATTGTCAATGTTTGAAAAGGGTGAAACGCCTGATGACATGACAGATACTAGCACAATGGGAGGAGAACCGCGTGATTTCACAGAACAGTCAGAGGTCAAGGACAGAACTTATCCTATAAAATCTGGCACGGACAAAACCAACTCACAATTTTCTGGGACACCAGAAAGTATGAAACCTGATGACCGAAGCAAAGAAGATGATCGACGACATTAATGTATATAGTTACAAAACAGCCAAAATTGTTCTCTATAACTTAAAACGGATTTTATTGACTACAATCAATATTAAATCGTGCAAATGTACATCAGTTAAAGCACGTTTAACTTAATAAAATAACTGGATTTTCTCCAACTCTTCTTGTCACTGCGAGTGTTTTCAGAAGTACAATAGAATTTACCAAGAAAGGGACCATTGCTCACCATATCACTTGCAACACTTCCCAATTAGCTATGGGTTGTCCCCCACAAA